TAATAAACATCCATTACAAATATGGAAAAAAAATGCAATAAACTGTCACATGATCGATTTTCATTTTTTGCAAAATAAAAATCAGAATTTTTAAAAAATTATTATTCAGGAAACATATACTTTGTTCATTGAAAAAAAAAAGTTTTCAAAAAAAGTTTCCTGATCAAAACAAGGCAACCAATAGGCTTGGGTCAGATCAGGGATCTGGCCTAAAATGTATCCTTGAGGAGATGACAATGGTACATAGGATGAATAGGGCCAAGCCAGGGCTCAGCCTCTTGACCCGAAGTCTCATCCAACAGCACATTGATAAGACTACCTGGGTGTGTTACCTAGCGACCAAGGTCTGATAGTGATAAATGCTATTGGAAGTGAATGAGGAAGGCCAAACACATTAGTATATCAATTTATTCAAATCCTTATTTGCCGCTGAATCTTAGGCTTGCAGTAGTCTATCTACCTCTGTGGCCACTTTGTTTGGATTCTATCTCGGGTAAAAAAGTCTGTAATTTAGAGTACCCACTAGTATAAGCATGCACCATGTTCCAAATTATTATGCAAATGATATTTTTCTCATTTACCTAAATAATTGATGTAAATAACAGTCAGCATAATTCTCATGTTATCAACTATTAAGAGTACAATTCAAATTTTATCGAACAAACCTTCTAATGATAGTAGTATTTTTTTTTAAACATAAAAAAACTTACAATGCACTGTTCCAAATTATTACACACAGTAAGTTTCGAAACACTTTATAGATTGTAAAGAACTGAAAGTTGTCATTTGTTGTGTTTGCAGCATATTTACTTAAATCAAAAGCTATTTCAATCAAACTTATAACAACATTTTAACTTTTTAAACATTTTAACTGGTCACTTACATTTTAACATAGGACCCATTATTTGATAGCAGCTTCACAAGTCTTGCATCCATTGAACTTGTGAGTTTTTGGACAGTTTCTGCTTGAATTTGTTTGCAAAATGTCAGAATAGCCTCCCAGAGCTGCTGTTTGGATGTAAACTGCCTCCCACCCTCATAGATCTTTTGCTTGAGGATGCTCCAAAGGTTCTCAATAGGATTGAGGTCAGGGGAGGATGGAGGCCACACCACGACTTTCTCTCCTTTTATCCCCATAGCAGCAATTGATGCAGAGGTATTCTTTGCAGCATGCGATGGTGCATTGTGATTTTATTACGGAAAGCATAGTTCTTCCTTCTGTACCAAGGAAGAAAATGGTCAGTGAGAAACTCCACATACTTTGCAGAGGTCATCTTTACACCTTCGGGGACCCTAAAGGGGCCGTCCAGCTCTCTTCCCATGATTCCGGCCCAAAACATGACTCCACTACTGCCTTGCTGACATCGCAGCCTTGTTGGAACAAGGTGGCCGTCCACCAACCATCCACTACTCCATCCATCTGGACCATCCAGGGTTACACGGCACTCATCAGTGAACAGGACTGTTTGAAAATTAGTCTTCATGTATTTTTCTGCCCATTGCAGCCGTTTCTGCTTGTGAGCATTGGTTAGTGGTGGCCGAATAAAAGGTTTATGCACAGTTGCAAGACTCTGGAGGACTCTACAACTTGATGTCCGTGGGACTCTAGAGGCACCAGCAGCTTCAAGTATCTGTTTGCTGCTTTGTAATGGTATTTTAGCATCTGCTCTCTTGATCCGATGCATGGATCTGGCAGAAATCTTCCTCAATGTGTCTTTATCTGCACGAACCCGTCTGTGCTCTGAATCAGCCACAAATCTCTTAATAGTGCGATGATCACGTTTAAGTTTTCGTGAAATGTTTTCATACCTCGTCCAAGACATTGAACTATTTCACTCTTTTCGGCAGCAGAGATATCCTTTTTCTTCCCCATATTGCATGAAAATGGTGCTCTGCTTAATAATGTGGCACACCCTCCTTTAGTAGTTTTTCCTTAAATTGGGCTCACCTGGCAATCTAATTATCACAGGTGTCCGAGATTGTTTTCAGTGATCAAAAGAGCCCTGAGACACAATGCCATCCGTGAGTTAAACTGAAAAACAAAATATTTAATCTTTGTGACACTTAAATAGAATTTGCATAATAATTTGGAACAAGGTGTAGGTATTTCTGTTCTTTTGACTACTTCTACTCGATTACTATCTGAAATATATGTTACATTTAGGAGATTTTTTGATGAGCATCTAGGAAGGATTTGTATGTCCAGTGGTGGTATTGTATAAAAGAGTCGCTATTAGTGTTTACTTGGTAGGTACCGTGTCAAGTCTGCCTGTTAAAAATTAGATTCTGTTTTCCAATAGCCTATGCCATATACAGTATCTTTGACTGAAGCGTTTTTTGTAGTAAGAAAATTCAGTTTGGCAAACCATTTTTCACAAAAATAAAAATGTTTTCAGGATGGCTCAATTTCGTCCTTATGTTAGCTTGGCTCAGCAGAATTTTGGTAACAAAAAACTGATTTGGTGATCAAATGAGATGAATCAAAAATGGTGTAAAATGGGTCAATATACAAGTTGTATACATAATATAAATAATATGTATATGTTTTGCAGACATTTTGATCTCCAGATAACATGCATGGAAATCGTGTTGGCGGTAAGACTGGAGGGATGCCATCTATTGATTTTTACAGGAGTATTCTCCTTCACAGATCCATGTATAAAAGTAACCAACAGAAGGAATCTTTTTTAAAAATCTACATTTCTATAATAAGTATTTATTAAATATATAATATATAAATGTATACATGCACACTGCTCCTCTAACCATCAATTATCTTTTTCCTATAAATCATCTAGTTTTTTGGCGCCACAGTTGGAATTCAGTATCACAAATCAAGATAACATGCTTGTATGAGCAGGAATGTGAAAAACAACTGTAGCGTTATTTATCAAGATCTGAGAGAGAACAACAACTTCCTCACATCAGACAGTCTTGTAAGAAATTGATCCGTAAGACGCTAAAATATTGTACGTAACTTTCTGTGTACGTGACTAGTTTGACAACTTGTGATCTCATCTACTTGATAACAGTCTAATTATCAAAGCTTTCAGTTTCATTTTACAGTACCTGTGTAAAAAAAACAATAGATTACATCCATCCAGCAGACTTCCCATCAACCAGTTTTCCATGCATGTTATCAGGAGATCAGATTGTCAGCGTAACCAACATTTAGGTGTAACAATGCAAATATTTGTTTTCTCAAGCCATTCTGTCTCCAAAGCTGAGGAATACTCAACCTACCCAAGAATCTACCCCAACTTGTCACTTTTTACAGAATGTTCTAGTATAGCTAGAAAGAAGAGATCAAATGGTAAAACATGTATAAAACTCTCTGACCACAAGGAGGGAGTTCAAGGAAGTCAGCCCTGGGGAGGAACATCCGCTAATGGACTCAAAGAGACTTTTTTCTTTTCATCTGGCCATTTGTGTGGAGACAGATGTGTAACCACCATAGAGGATAGAGAGATCCAAGCCATACAAAAGTATGAATAATATGAATAAAGTATAAAAATCTTAATGTGTGGTATTGTATTGTACTCAAAGTCTATGTATTAATACAATGTTTTTTGTTTTTAAATTATGAGAAAACTGTAACAGTAGCCTAATTTAACAACCAGTATCAATAAATATAATTTTCCATTCAATTGTCTGTGTTTTATTGGTCCACATTCCCTAAAGAATTAACTTGTAAAAGGGTAATAATTTCTTAAAGGCTGATAAGTAAGGAAACCACTAAGGATGTAAAGGAAGCCTTGAGACATAAACTACTATGTAGGATTATTGTACAACCCTTACTGTAAAGTCTAAAAAATGTATGAAAGAAGTTTTGGCTTTTGCACATTTAGATGGCGTGATAATGATATTTTTGAATATTTGCTGCAAAAATATATATTTTTCGCCACTTGCCTAAATTCCACAAGGGGTTGGACAATGTGGTGAGTAGATAGACTTTTTTTGCAGGGATTGGTTTATTGAGTGAACATTTAGCAGAACTCATTGATTTGTATTGATCGAATCTTTTCTAAAAAAACACAGAGCAACTCGTTTGTTGAAATTTTAAGTTTGGAATATGGAATTTCTTTGGGTGACATTAAATGTTTGTTCACTGTACTTTGCAATACCATCTTGACTACATCCTTTGCCATCCTTTGCCAATCTTTTTATTTTTTTATTTTGTTTTTTTGCAGTGCATAAAGGTGTGACATACAGGCAAGTGGTACCCTGACGGCATTCCACTTGCTTTGCAAATAAAACATTGGTAACAGTGGGGAATGTGATATGCACATTTTTTAGAATATAGGTTGCGATTGCAAGCGTCAATAACATGTAAAGATAGGTTGTGAGTTTTCAGTAGTTTGTGATAAGTATGCTAGCTAGATAGTCAGTATACATAAATCAGCGTTAGTTATACTTAAACTTAAATTAAAGTATGTAGAGTACATGCTGAAAAATCATAGCAGTAAAAACATGAAGAGAATATAACATTTGCACATCATGTAGCTTTACTGTAAGCTTGTAAGGCACTGCGGTTCGGAGCTGTGTGTGTTTGTGCCTTCTGCTCTCCATGGGTGTCAGTCCTGGTCACGCAATGTCACAGGCTTAGTCTGAGGTATGATGGGCCTGGCACTGACCTGTCTGGAGGCTTTGTGTAAAGAGTCTCTATTATTATCCGATGCTGTCTCTTGTGAAGCAGTGAGCAGTGTTTGGTGAGGTGTTGAAGGTCACAGCAGCAGTGGACAGTATGTGGATATCCTTCCAGCCCCAGGCTGTTACGAAGGCCTGCATCTCAGTGCCACGAACTCCACAGCTTCTGTAGTCTGAGTTTCTTCCCCTGACAGGGGCAATTGAGGGCCTGTTGGGCTTTGGCCGCTCGCGGCATTGAAGCCTCCTTGCATGTGGGCGATGCGTCCGGGTCTTCGCCCTTTTGGCCCCCAGTCCAGGTGGGCTCTGTGGTTTGGAGGTGTGTTGGTCATCCGTCGCTTTGCCCAAGGGTATGCCTCCCTTTCTCTGCTGCCGGCTGCCTCGCTTAAACGCTGTCTGTGCAGGTCTCTGAGCGGTTTGTGCTGCTCTCATGCGGTCTCTGAGTGTTGCCCAGAAGCGGCTGAATATTGCGTTCAGGCGCTGTGTGGTGTCTTGGTAAATCAATGTTTGCTGGAGCTGGTTCAGCACGGGCGGAGTGTTATCACCCGCCATCTTGGGGGAGCCTCGTGGGCGACAACACTGAATTGGCATCGTTGCACAGCTCGGTGTGGCTGATGGCTTTGAACACACCATGCAGACCGGGATATCCCCCACCGGCCCAGAGGGGGGTGTAGGAGGTGAGTGGTTTGGAGGTTATTTCTGCAGGGTCACCCACGAGGAGAGCGGCCGCCTCTCCCCGACAGGGTCTCGAGTAGGCCTCTTGGTGCGGGTGCCGGTTCCCGCTCAGTGGTGGGGTAATGAATGGTATCCTTCGATTTGCCCGGTTGTCCCCGACTGTGCTATCACCCTCCAGGTGCTGTGCGTGCAGTTTTGTTGGGGTTTTAGCCCCAAATTGTGCCATTGTACTCAGTTTCAACACATCCATGCAGCCTGAAAGCCAGGCTCCGCCCCCCATCCTTTGCCAATCTTATATTTTGGTTGGTAGGATGAGTCTCCCATTTTTGGAGATACCTGAATTTTTATTTGTTTTCTAATATTTCTTTTTTTCTGAACATATTATAGACGTACTACCTATCCAGTCATCCTAAGCACTTGATAAGAGTTCCAATTTTGATCAATTTGTGCATAAATCATGTGAATTGTGTGATTGCTTTTTAACTAGGGGTTATCCTTTTTGAACTTATCAGAAAAGGGCCGTAAACACTGAGAAAAGAGCCTTAAACACTGAGATAGATGAGGGGGAGACCTAATGCGCATGTGCGTTAATGGCCGCACGCTCCCATTAGACCTTCCCATAGGAAAACATTATTCAATGCTTTCCAATGGGGATTCCGGCAATGCTGGAGGTCCTCATGCATAGCGTGAGGACATCCAGCGTTGTTTAAAACACTTTTCGTGTTTTAAGAAGCCGTAGGTCCCTCTAGTGGCTGTCTAATAGACAGCCATTAGAGGAGGACTTAACCCTGCAAGGTAATTATTGCAGTTTATAAAAACTGAAATAATTACACTTGCAGGGTTAAGGGTGATGGGAGTTGGCACTCAGACCACTCCAATGGGCAGAAGTGGTGTGGGTGCCTGGAGTTTCCCATTAAGAGCCGCAAAGCCACCATAAATCACAGTACTACAATATTTCTTTTATAGTTAATATAGTATCATAAAGTCAAAATACAGTAGGACTTTCTATTTATTTTTTTCTCTTCTTTTTGATAACAGCAGTGATTCAGCAGTGTCTGGAATTTCTTAGATTAATCCAGCTTGTTGTATGGACATTATTCATATAGGTTTGGCAATTTGGTATTTATACATAATGACTCAAGACTCAAATTTCTCGGTAGATTCTCTATTGCTTGCATGTTTTATGTGTTGCATGTTTCAGACTCCCAGGTCCCTATTAAACGTGTGGACCATTATGTATGTAACTATAGGGGAGGGGAAATTAACACTTAGCCTAGGGAAACTGGGGAACCTTTGGTAGTAGCATGGAGCCCATTAGCACAGAGCATTTCCTTGTTGCCAGTGCAGGCCCTTGCCTACATGCAGTGCATCCGTTCAACAAGTGCCTGCTCTGCAGATTCCATTTGCAGACCTTGCAGGCGGTGAAGAAGCTGCTGGGATCAGTCTGTGATCTGGTTGCGCAGATATTTAATTGACTAATTCCACAAGCTGAGATGTAACATCAACCCAGCCTTGGTATCATTGGTCAAACCCCTGTTGACTGTTATATAGCACTCCGAGAATAGAGAGTCTGAAGGTAATATGGTCAAATATGCATTGATCAGCCAAAACATTAAAATGACATGTCTAATATCATGTAGGTCCCCCTCCTGCTGCCAAAAAGGCTCTGCAAGAGCTATGTGTGTGTCCGGTATCTGGTACCAAAACATTAGCAGAAGATCATTTTAAGTCCTGCATTTTGCGAAGTGGGGCCTCCATGGATCTGATTTGTTGTTCCATCACATTCCACAGATGCTCAATCTGAGATCTGGGGAATTTGGAGACCAAGGTGACACCTTGAACTCTTTGTCATGTTCCTCAAACCATTCCTGAACAATTTTCGCATGTGTGGCAGGGTACATTATCCTGCTGAAAGTGGCCACTGCCATCAGGGAACACCATCGTCACGAAGGGATGTATGTGGTCCACATGAATGCCAGGACCTGCGGTTTCCAAGTAGAACATTGTCCAGAGTATAACTCTGATTCTGCTGCCATCTCTTCTTCAGGCAAGTGATGCACATGCACCCGGCCCTCCACCTGATCTAAAGAAAATATGATTCAATATACCAGGCTTCTTCCATTGCTCCATGATCCAGCTTTAACACTCCCATTCCCATTGAAGGTGCTTTTGGTGGTGGACAGGGGTCATCATGGACCCTCTGACTGGTTTGTAGCTACACAATTTGTTATGAAGCAAACTCCGATGCACAGTGTGTTCTGAAAACTTTCTATCTTGGCAAGCATTATGTTTTTCAGCAATTTGAACTACAGTAGCTCTTCTGTGTGATTAGACCAGACGGGCTAGCCTTCGCTCCCCACATGCACTAACGAGCCTTGGAGCCTTGCACGCAAGACCCTGATGCCAGTTTACCAGTTGTCCTTCCTTATACCACTTTTGGTAGGTACTAACCACTGCATACCCAGAACACTCGACAAGACTTCGCTCTTATCAGGTTGTTTAGCCTTCATTATTTGACCCTGTTCAAAGTCACTCAGATTTTTTCGCTTACACATTTTTTCTGCTTCCAACACTGAAATTCAAGAATTTATTGTTCACTTGCTGCCTAATATATCACACCTATTGACAGGTACCATGGTAACGATATGATCAATGTTATTTACTTCACCTGTCAGTGGTTTAATGTTGTGGCTGATCAGTGTACAATCATATTAAAAGAGTAAAAAGGCATTTTACAAACTACTAATAAAATAAACAATTTAAGACATGCTAGTACACAGTGAAAATCAATATACTAAATCATATCATAAAATATTATTATACTGGCGTAATTATGGTCTCCGATTCCCTAATACGTATTATGGATTCTACAATAAACATTGTAAAGTATCCACTCCACGCAACCCACATTTGTAATGTATCTCTAGGATACGATAAACAAAAAGCAATAGAACATAACTTGGTCATTACATTAGTTCATCAAGTCTGGCGTTTAATAAAACAATAAGTAGTGTTTTAGTCGCCCACACCACATTTTTTTGCTGGATTGTAATTCAACTACATTGTATCACTCAAAATATGTTTTCTTTTAAAGTAGAAGTGATTTTGCCTCTTGAGTAGAATGTGGAATGTAGAACAGAATGTAATTATGCAATGTAAGAATAGTAAGAGAGAATGGAAGAGCTATTGTATTCTGAATATTTGAAGGAAAAAGATCAGAGCAAAACAAGATAATTTCCAGATTTTGTTCTATACACAATTAGATTGTATTGATAAATATTTTGGTGGGATGTTTCATGCCTTTGTTAAGCCAAAATAACAAAGTTGACACTTAAATTACTCCATTCGATTAATTCTTTGCCATCCCTCAAGACACCATAGCTGAAAACACCCTTTGGTTATTACAGTAAATGCCGTAGAGATCTGTTGGGAAAGAAAAAATCCTATTCAGTGATCTGAGGTTCATCAGGCAGTTAAATTATACAAATGTAAATTAGGAGAATGAAAAGAGAGTAATGACCTTGTGATTTAGTGCACAATAAATCATTGCTCACTTACACTAGGAATACTGTGCAGAAAAGTGAGCTCTCCCAGTCAAGGAGGCTGAATTTCACCAAAGAGTTAACAAATATATCTCAAAGGATCTGCTCATTTTAAACTAAAGTTATCAACTGTCAAATATCACGCAGCCCATCAAGCATTTCCCTAATTTGCCTAGTTTGCCCGATGGCAAGTCCAGGACTACATGCAAGGAAGCACATTAGTTTAACCAGCTTGGGAATGCCAGAGCCAAAGCCCATCAGACTGATGGATGACAGAGATTAAAAAATATAAAAGATGGTGCAAACACGGAACGTAAATGCAACCACCAAGCTCATTAACATTAGATGTCATGCAGATTAGATTAGATTAGATACCAGAAACAATTTATTGAGATGCAGGTCTGCCCAACGGCAGAGACAAGTGCTAACATTTTGACAAAACCTTTTCCAAGAGTCATTTTTGCTTGAAGATAATTTTAGTAGGTTTGAATCAGATAAAATCAAGAAAGGGATTGTTAGTGATAATCACTAATGCATAATCCGAATGTGTTGGAGGACTTACTGTTGCTCAGGGCCTGCGCATCCATAAGGCGGCACAGGCAGCTGCCTTAGGGCACCAGAGCAGGGGTGCGCAAAAATCCGAATCCCCTGCCTCTGGCTGTGGATTTGGATTTTTCATATTACCTGTCTCCCTGCAACCAGCACAGAGCAGCCGGGGAAGTTGGCCGGCACCTCCTGATGATGTCAGGAGGAGGGGGCGTGACTTCCCTTGCTCTTCTCCCAGGACAGCTGGAGACTTCCCTGGCTGCTCTGTGATCTCTGCAGGCTCCTGCTCCTGCCCACCCTTCTCTGGCCCAAGGTAAGCCTGAGGGGTGTGGATGGGGGTGGAGATACACTTAGAATAGTTTTTCTTTTGTCAGCCCCTGCCCATCCCTTCTTTAGCCCCTGTCCCCCCTTTACAGCCCCTGCCCACCCCTTCTATTGCCTCTCTGCCCCCTTTACAGCCCATGTGCCCCCCACCACAGCCTATAACCCCCTTTACAGTCCATGCCCCCTTTCTACAGCCCCATGCCCCCCCCCTTGCATTGCCCCTGTGCACTTGCCCACCCCTTTTTACAGCCCCTGTACCTCCCACCACAAACCATGTCCCTCTCTACCGCCCATATCCCCTCTCTACAATCCCTGTCCCCCTTTCTACAGCCCCTATGCCCCTTTTCAACCCCGCCCCCCTTCAGCCACTCCTGTGCCACCTCTCAGCCCCTGCCCCATTTACAACTCCGTCCCCCCTTTACAGCCCTTGTGCTCCCCTACCGCAGCCCCATGTCCCCTCGTCTACAGCCCCTGTGTCCCTCCTTCCACTACAGCCCCTGTGTTCCCACTCTCTCTACAGCCCCTGTGTCACCGCCCTCTTTACATTCCCTGTGTCCCCTCTCTCTACAGCCCCTGTGTGTCCCCTCCCTCTACAGCCCCTGTGTCTCCTCCCTCTATATCCCCTGCCCCCCACAGATCTTGTACATCCCCTATCCCCCATCACAGCCCCTGAACCCTTTCTAGAGCCCTGGTGCCCCCATCTACAGCCCCTTTCCAGGAATAAGGTGATCTCAGCCCCAGTGATTTTTTTGGGTGTGGGGCGACAAATTTGCCTCTGTAGCCAAAACGTCTGGCCCCGGCCCTGCTGTTGCTGGTAACATTTTACTGTCTGTACTCTGTAATCTCTATAGTGACGGAGAGGGTGTGGATTCTCGCTCTGTCCCCATATTTCCCATATTCTCTGTTTTTGTTGCAATGCATTTACTTAGGCTCTCCCTAAATTAAAATGATAATCCAGTGCTCACTGTGCCTAGAGACGTGTCAGCTACACCTTGCTGATGAGGCCCAAAGAAGGCTAAAACTATTGTCAAGGGTTGTATTTATCGTGCAGAGGGATCTTGACAGCATTTCGGATCTTGCCAGAATTCCGGATCTGGATTGTCTTTATGGGCGGGATCAGTTTGAAATGCACATGGTATGGGTAAGGGGAAGACAGTCTTTGGCATTCCAGATGTTGTGGATTACATGTATCATGTGCCAAAGTTGCCTAATTCTGGTATAGGTTCTCTCTGTGCTGGCACAAGTGAGCAAATCATTTTTGAGACCTGAGCAGGGACAGACTGAAGTGAAAGCTATTAAGGTTTCTCTGAGCTTTTAGAGTTCTCATATTCTCTCTTTTATTGCAGTTCTCTGTTTAGTCTGTTTAGTTCTCTGTTTAGTCTCTCTCTCTGTGCTATGCAGCCACTTTTACTTTGATATGTTAGGGAATATGTTCTTGTTTTATTAAATCATATTTTATTAAATCATGTTTAAGCAAACCACTGTTTAAGGATTCTAGATCACTTAGCTTCATATGTGTGCCCTGCTCTGAATCCAACATGCTGCTGCTGTGCTAACACAACTCTACTTAATTTCAACAGGACAGGATAAGAGGAGGACATGTGCAGTATGGAGGGGGGACTATGCCACCGTTGGTCTTATGTCACCAGCATGCACAGATCTGATATTAGTCAGCCAGGAAAACTTATTTCAGGTTGACTTATGATGCTCCAAAGACACACCTCTGGCAGCAAAGAAGCTAAACTCTGTATTTGTACCACTTCATGGGAAATGCTGCAAATACTGACTCTAAGCACCATGGCCACTTTAAATCACTGAAGTGATCATAGTGCTTGGAGTAACCCTTCCCTTTAACCAGTATTATTGATGGATTAGCTAATCAATACACTGTTGTTGCCCCATCCCAAAAGCATCAGCAATAAACAGCCAATAAATTCTACAGCCAATAAAGCTTGGTAAATATTTTCTGCTTGCCTATTAGGGAAGAGTGAAAGTATGCAAAGATCGAATCTGGAGTGGCTGAAGGTAATAATGCAATCAAAATAATGCAATAATATAATATTCCCACCATACTAACTAAAAAAACGGAAGTTCTGTTCTCCGGCACCCCTTTCTGGCACCACCTCTATCAAAGTAGCCTAGATTAGCACTATACTACTGATATCGCTTTAATGGCTATAACAGGTGACTACTTTAAGAAGTAATTGATATAAAATTGAAAAAATACAAAAAACATCCTCCTGCCCTGTCCACAGACTGTAAAGATACTGTAACATTCACTAGGGAACCCTAACACGCAGACAGGACAGAGTAGAGAGAATTGCAATACCGATCCTTAGAATGGTCGGGTTATGCAAAAGGGGATAGTCAAAACACAAGCCGAGATCAAGGGAATCAGACAGACGGAATAACGAGAGACAAAGCCAAATATCAGTAACCAGGAAATCCAAATAACAAGTGCAACGCTCAATGGTAAACCAAAGACCACAACAGGGCACTGAGGCAAGGGAGAGGTTAGCTTATATACACACAGGGTGTGTCTGATTGGCTAACCTCCAAGTAGTGTTAACCATAACACGTGGGAGGAGTTTCTTCCCACCCTTGTGGTCTGTGAGGTCATCACTGTGTGCTGGGTCACATGACCGGGTGCAGCACACATATAAGGAAGCTGCTCTGCAGCGTCAGACACACTGCCAGTCTGGAGACAGGGACCAGATGATGCCGCTCGCTGTGATGAGGTAAGCTAGGTTGCCGCGAGCGGCGCAGGGACAGGGGACCTGACAGATACAGGACTAAAAAGCCCTGCATATACGGCTTCAACCCTCAAAGCACCCCACTCAGCAACGCCTATACAACAACTTTGCTTCTGCAAACTTCCCTTGTAGAACTGCAGTTTAATGGATAGATCCCCTTAGTTTCCTTGTGATATAGAGCAAACATTACTTTTAGTATGATAATTATTAAAAGTGTTTCTGCTTTCTGTCATAGAATCTTCCTTCTCTATACCAATGTAATGATATCAGTGATGTCAATTACTCTGGATATGTTAAAAGGATTGAAAATCATACTCAAGAAATAAGATGATTATTCTTGCTATATTTGAAGCATTCTAGTGTTACAACCTGTATTCCTAACATTATAGTATCCATATCCCTAGTTTTATACAGGTGCCCTCTGCAATGCGCCATACACGTTAATAGAATAATAATTTTACTTACCCTTTTCCTTCTGTGCTGATCACCACTCCGCCACCCGCAAGTTCACCGACGAGGCAAGGCCTCACTACCAAGGTCAAATCCAGTGCATCTCATAGAAGATTATTGCAGACCCAATGCATATGCTCAGCAAGTGCTACGCACAGCCAAGCTTTCCTATAGCAAAGCATTATATTCAGTACTTTCCTATGGGCTTCCGTGTCACTTGACTGAGCCACTAGAGGGGGTTTTAACCCTGCAATGTAAATATTACAGGCTTAACACAATAGGACCACTGTACCCGGACCACTTTAAGACGAAGTGGTATGGGTGATTTTAATGTCTTTTTCAGGGTTTATATTCTGTATAAGCAGAGTCAAGCCCAAAATAGACTGTCTTTTTTTTGTAAATTGAATGTTCATATTTATATAAATACTCGCTTTTGAAACTAATAATACTTGAAGTTGAAATTTATTGTCTAGAATAGCTAGAACATTTTCCAAGCTAATATGTAACCTCTGGACATGAAATATGTTTATAAGTATTGTAATGATAGAAGCGATAGGACAAGATAACATATTTAATCAGACTGTAGGAGCTAAAGGCAATTCACACTGCAGGAGTGTCTATCCATTTCAGAGACCTGCTGTAATACCTGTTTACCTGGAAGGAATCCTCCGTTCAAATCTTTTCCAACCAAAGCTGTATCACTAAAAATAATCAAACATGTTTATCTGGGCTGCTCAATAAGTGGGTGATTTAACAAAACTAATACAAAATATACAATTAGCAAGAAAACAAAACAAAAAATAATTGATAGATTATTTGTATTTAAAGCATCCTGCAATTTGATACAAACATTTTCTATTTCACAATCTACTTTGTAGCTAAGAGACAGGAATAAATCGAAATAATTGAATGAACATACTTGCCCTTTATTGTGTGAGGTTGTGTTTTTTTTTCTCAATGTACTCATATGGAATACACAGTAAACGTGGCTGTTTTGCTGCATTTCTACCTAATATTTATCTCATTATATCTGAAAGGCAGTTGATGTGTCGTATTAAAATGAAGGAGTCCTATGATTAGAATGACAAGGATACTTCTACTGACTTGGCTTGTTGCTAGCTAGCTAGCAGACAGTGCATGACATATTTGTAGTAGGAGGTCTAAACAGTTGGAGAAGGGATTCTGCAAGACATGATGATGTCTCTGGTTGATTCAGCATGAAGTGGTCCTCTTTGTGGAGGCTGTCCCTTCGAGTTAATGACAGTGTAGCATTGCCAGGTAATGTGAGTGTCAGATACAACTCTGCTTGTGATTGTTTAGTTCACCCTAACCATGTTTAAAGAAGGAATAAAATCCTTCCATCCTGGACAGATCTGTGAAAGAGGAAAAAAAGCGTTTACATTACTACAAGAGCTGCTTTAATTCTAACATGATTTAATCTGGTCAATTGAACTGAACTTCCAGCTGCAACACTACTGCACAGTTCTGCAAACCGTGGGGATACAGTACCAACAGACTAACAGAGGCTGTATCACACCTGGTCATGGAATTTACTTAATGCAACACCTGGATGGGGCTGCCTAAGTAAGTACAGTGTTCTCTTATTTTCCTTTAACCTGAAATGATGTGTCTGTGACATATTTTGTTAAGACATGATTAGCTAAGAGATTAGTGTTTTACAGATGTTTAAACACATCAGGCACACTTAATCAATAAGGCAAGTCAATAGCCCTGTGTCTGACAGATATGAAATGATTCAGTCAGTCTGGAAGGCGATTAGAACACAACTGCATTGTAATTGCTGATAAATTGAATAGGACTTGAATAGGAGAGAGATGTGCAACAAGGTTTTAATACTAGAAACGTTTATGTTTTAAGTACTTGAGTGAGTGACTTTCTTCCTATGCTAAAGCTGTCCCTCGTGGGGTTTATTTTTCTCTCTCTCCACAGTCACACAAATGAAAAATGTGATTTAAAAAAAAAAAAAAGAAAATGGTTCTTTTGGATGTGTCTGACCTTTTTGAAACTCCAAATTAATATCATGATTTCAGCTCGGAGTCTGGATGCTACAATGGACTGAGTGTTACTATTTTATTTGCTGATGCCTGACTTTAAAAGAATCAGGAAGAAAATATGCTGTAATCAACCATGAAGGGATGCAATGTGTCTGGTTTTGTGTGGATCTTACAAAATCCAGAGAGAGAATGGTGAGCTACTGGGAACTCCATGAATAAACCACAGACCCTTTCTAAGCCCAAGGCATCTCTCCACACTGGATCCTTAAAACACCAATGTTGGAAAAAAGTTACCCCTTTTTAATCTTTCAGATCATTTCTCTACAGAACTCAGGTTTAAATATGGATACTTTTAGCAAAGAGAAGTTTGTCAACATATCTAAAAGCTCCTTGATTCAACTTAATCATGACAGGAGGTTTTACAAAAGTGACATTGGGACAGGAGGATGCAACACATCAGAAATATTTAACTGGACCATGGCTACTGGAAATGTAACACCTGTCACCTCAGGGGGAAGTACATTTTCTTTAGAAAAGAACTGGCCTGCCCTTTTAACAGTGACAGTGATTGTAGTCACTATTGCTGGCAATATACTGGTCATTTTGGCTGTCTCTCTGGAGAAAAAACTACAAAATGCCACCAATTATTTTTTGATGTCACTTGCTGTAGCTGACATGCTCCTGGGTTTCTTTGTCATGCCCATTTCAATGTTGAACATACTATATGGTAAGTGTCTCCCGATAGAGTTTACAGCAATGTAAAACACATGTTTATGCTTTTTGTTTGCCAGCTAAATTATTTCTTGTAAATGCTATAAACTCCAGTCAGTAGGACAATGCAAAGTATTGCTAGTTAATAAGGATTTAAAATGTATAATACTTACATACACTAAGCATCATTATATATGTGTGTATAAGCATATTTTTAAACCACAGGGTTATTAATTCTAAAATAAAACTAAAAATGAATCTTAACATTCAAATAGCAATTTCTTGCATTTAAATGATATAGTTAAATGTTAACTTAAAATATTACATATGTTCCCTTATCCTGGTTAATATTGATGAATATAACAATAAATCACTTAAATGCATTCAATTGCTATTGACGACATTATTGTCACAACTCCACACACACAAAATAAATACACTCATATATACTAGTATAATAAGCACACAATTGTGCTCATGAGACAAAACTGGCTAATACAATCCTTTGCAGCTCTCTGGCTCCCCTTACTGGTCACTGGAGATATGCAGGACTCTTGTTGATAAATAGTCAGCATTACACAGAGACAAGTGTATAGGAAGATCATTTATTCTGGAGAAAATTACCAATACCAAGTGCCTGTAACATTACTGATACAGCACTAGCAAGCAGAGCCCGAGCCGCTAACAAAGTGAAAGAAAAGTAAAAATATTGAGCAATATTATAGCAGTGCTCTAATATTGGTGCTTTCCTGACAGTGGAGTGTCATTTCAGCTCTAGAAAAATGATGCACATCATTATAATGCTGCACATTAGCCTCCTGTCCTTGGGGAGTGGGGACATAGAGGTGTATGCCCCTAATATAACTGTATCTGTGGATAACCCTAAAGTGGACTGTGTGTAGGCTGTGAATTGTAGTATAATGAAAGGAGGTACAGAATACAAATTATATGTAGCTGTATCACTAATCATTGTGAATACCATCCTAACCCTAACTTTTGAAGGGAGCTCTAATGATGTCATGAGATATTATAAAAGTATACTACTTTATTAAAGCAACAGAGAAGTAGCTTAGTTACTTATTATTCCCAGAATGAAAAAATAACCAACCAAAGGGGCTAATACACCATAACATTCAACAAGCATGGATAAACAATGGCACTAACAGGTAGTAAATCCAAGCAATTCCAGGGTATGTTTAAGTACCCCTCTACTGTACACAGGGACAGATAAATTAAGAGAGAGTGCGTGTGTGTGTGTGTGTGTGTGTGTGTGTGTGTGTGTGTGTGTGTGTGTGTGTGTGTGTGTGTGTGTGTGTGT